AAGTTTCTTTCTCTGCCTCTCCAACAAAACACAGTCCCTTTGTGTGATTACATATTCTCTCTCATAGTCTCTCTCTTTCTCTCAGTCTCTTACTCGCTCTCTCTCACAATCATTCTTCTTTCGCTCAGTCTCTCTCTCTCTCTCTGTCTCAGTCTCTATCTCTCTGGCTCTCTGAGGCTGTCTCTCAGTCTCTTTCTCACTCTGTATCTCTGAGTTACTTTCTCTCTCTGTCTCTCTCTTTCTCTCAGTCTCTCTCTCCCACTTTGTGTTTCTCAGGCACTTTCTCTCTCTCTCCCTCTCTCGGTAACTTTCTCTATCGCTCACAAATATACAGTCAATTCACTTTAAGTCGATTCTGTGAAGCGCTTTGAGCCGTCTAGAAGGCGTGAAAAGCACTATATCAAACGCAAGGATTGTTATTAGTTGTAGCAGTAGAAGTAGTATTATCTCTTCCGGCAGTTTATCCCAATCTCTCTCTCGCTCTCTCAGTCAATCTGTATCTGTTTCTCCCACAAAACACTTTACAATATATTCTCTCTCAGTATCTCTCTCGCTCTCTCTCTCAATCTTTCTGAGTCTCCTTCTCTGTCTCTCTTTCGGTCTCTGTCCCTCACTCTCTCTCTCTCTCTCTCTCTCTCTCTCTCAATCATTTTCTCAGTCTCTGTCTCTCTCTGTGTCTATCAATGTCTATTTCTGTCTCTCTCTCTCTCAATCTCTCAGTCAGTCAATATTTTTGTGTCTCTCTGTCTCGTCAACAAAACATACAGTCACTACACATTATAATATATTCTCTCTCCACTTCTGTCTCACTCAGTCTTTCAGTCTCTTTCTCTTCCTCATATCTCTCTCAGTCGCTCTCTCTCTAAGTCTCTTTCTCTCCCTTATTGACACCCTTCAGTCTCTCTCTCTCTCTCTCAGCCTCTCTCTCTTTCTCAGTCTCTCTCTCTGTGTGTCTGCCAGAATCTCTCTCCCTCCATCTACGTGTCTCAGTCTCTCTTCCTCTCAGTCTCTCAGACTATCTTTCTCTACTGGTGTCTCTCAGTATCTCTTTCTGTCGCTCTCTCACATTCTCTCTCACTCTGTGTCTATGAGTCACTTTCTCTCTCAGCCTCCCTCTCTGTTTCTCTCCTCTCTCGCATTCACTCTCTCGCTCTCTCTCTCTCTCATTTTCTCACTCAGTTTGTCTCACTCAGTCTCCCTTTCCCAGTCTATCACTCTCCCAGTCTCTCTCTCTCTCTCACTCTCTCATTATCTGTCTCATCACTCGCTCTCTCAGTCTCTCTCTCTCTGTCTTGTAGTCTCTCTGACGCTCTCCCAGTCTCTCTCAGTGCCTATCTGACTCTCTCTCCTCCTTTCGTTCTGCCTCTCTTTCTCTCTCTTTCTCTTTCTTTGTCAGTCTCTCTCACTGACTCTCTCTCTGTATCTCTCTCTCTGACTGTCTCTTTCTCTCTCTCGCAGTAGCACTGTCTGTCACACAAAACACAGTGTCACTAAATTATAAAATATCTCTCTCACACTCTCTCTACGTTTTTCCCTCTCTCATTTTCTCTCTGTATCTCTCACTCTTCTTTCCCTCATTGAATCTCCTGCCCTGTCTCTGTCTTTATCTCTGACTGTTACTGTCTCTCTCTCTCTCTGTGTGTATGTTTCTCTCTCAGTCTCTCTCTCGCTCTCTCTCTCTCTCACAGTCTGTCTAACATTCTCTCACTCTGGCTCTTCCATAAGGCATAGTCACTATTCGATATTATATATTTTTGTATCAGTCTCTCTTTGTGTCTCTACCTGTCTCACTTTCTTCTCGGTCTCTGTCTCTTAGTCTCTCCGACAAAATGCACAGTCACTACATGTTGTATGTCATGTACCCTATTCTCTCTCACTGTGCCTGTCTTTCTCTCAGTTTCTCTCTCTCACTCTCTCCTGCTCAGTTTCTTTCTCTCAATCTCTCTCTGATTCTCTTTCTCTCCCTTTTTCTCTTTCTAAATCAGTCTCTCTCTCTGTTTCATTATCTGTCAGTCTCTGTATTCGCCTCTCGCTCTATCTTTCGTTCCCTCAGTCTCTCTTCACTATCTTACTTCTCTCTTTCTGTCACTTTCTCTTAGTCCCTCTCACAAAAAATGACTCCATGTTAAATTTCTTCTCCCCTAGTCTCTCTCTCTCTATCAGTATCTCTCTCTTTCTCTCAATCTATTTCACAGACTATCACTCTGTCTTTCTCTCACTCAGTCTCTCTTCTCTCTCAGTATCTCTTTCTGTCTCTGCATCTCTCTGTCTGTCTCTCTCTCAATTCCCATCTATCTCCCATTCTCTCATGAAATATTGTTTTCAAGGGATTAATAACCCTGGAAAAGTGATCTGCAAGTCGTCTAACAACTGGATTGTGACTGACTGTGTGGCAAATAGACACGAGTGGAGTAAGGAAACATCCGTAAGGTTTTGCCCTGTCAGGAATCACCCCCAGGCCCTCTCGCTAGCGAGGCGAGGGCTCTAACCACTGAGCTACAGGGCTCAGACTGCAGTGTGTGAGCAGACACAGGCTAACTCAGGGCTGAAGCTGTGTAGATTTCATTCTGGGGTGAGGGTTTTGCACAGACGTTTTGACTGGAAAGATTCTGACAAAAAAAACCTCAAACCCAGTGGAGGGGTCGGAGCTGTGACGATCCGCATGTCACAAGAGATGGGGTTTCCAGCACATGGTTTCATTTTAACACATGTTGAGAGTTTGATGTAAACGATGGCTTGTGGCCTCACACTGTCACACCGATTCCTGTCACAATATTCAGCCGCACTGATCAGACAGTCACAATAAACACATTGAGATATTGGTGTCATTCAGACTCTGGAGATACAGTGTGTTACTTACTCCACTTTCGGTATTTTAAACACCGGGTTCCTCAGAGCCTCACACAGTGGCTTCACTCCACAATTTCCCAGTTTATTAATATTGAGGTACAGCTCCGTCAGTGAGTGGTTTGTGCTGAGAGCGGAGGTCAGATCCTCGGTACAATCAGCTGTCAGATTGTTACTGTCCAACCTGGAGATCAGAGACACAGAGACATAACAGGGATCAGAGTAAACACAGTGTGTGTAACCCACTGTCACTCACAGTTTGTTTGATGCCGGACAAGTGGCAGCTGTGCACGCGCATACACACACACACGCACACCAACACACACGCACACACAGACACGCCTACACACAGACACAAAAACACACAAGAACATATTCACAACCATACAAACACGCACAAATACACACTCAAACATACAAATAGATGACAGAAACAAACACACGCAGACACATACATACCAAAAAGAACTCAACACACACATACACACAAAAACACATAAATGCACACGCACAACCAAACAAGCACCCACGCACAAACACAAGCACACATGCACAAATACAGAAATACACAAATACAAGAACACAAATACACACATATACAATCACGAGCACAAATACAGATACAGAAACACATAGACAGGAACAGACAGTATTGCACACGCTCACAGGCACACACAGAAACAAACAGACATGAAACACACTTACACACAAGCAAACGCATGACACACACAGAAATACACACGCATGGACACACATACACAAACACACACAGAAAGACACAGACAAGCAAACGCACACAAAAAAATCACAAAAATACACACACAACAAAACAAAACAAAAACAAATGAACACAAACGTGCACATATACAATCTCTCACGCAAATGCGTGCGCTCACAAATACCCACACAAACACACAGAAATGCGCACATACAAACACACACGCAAACGCACACAAACAAACGCAAACGCACAAAGGCACACAAATAAACAGACAAACATACACAAGCACAGAATGTCAAGCAAGGCGCAAAAAACACGCGCACAGAAAAACATACGTATACACATACACACACAAACAAATTCACATGCGCACAGAAATACGCGCACAAACACATACATATGCAAACACACACAAGCACACACATACATAAATACACAATCATGCACACAAAACAAACGCATACACGCACACAGCAACACAAAACAAACATACAAACCGACACACAAACACGCGCACACAAGCCCACACACAAACACACATTCACACAAACACACGCATAAAAACACACAAACACACACAGAAATGCACACACACAGAGGCACAGCACGAAACACACACGAAAATACACAGGGATACATACACAAACACACAGAAGACACAAACACAGACTCACGCACCCAACCCCAAAAACATAGACGCACATAAACACAAACAAACAGAAACACATACACGCGTAAATACAGACACACAAACATACGTGCACAAATACACTCACGCATAAACAAACACACAAAGAAACACTCAAAGAAGCACAATAAACACACACATGCACAACAAACAAATACATACATAGAAACATACACTGAAACACACGTGAATACAAACAAACACTCACAAAGAGACATTTACACACGCAAGAAAACGCACACACACACATAAACAAACATACACACAAACAGACACACAAACAGACATACACACAGAAACACAAACAAACTCACAAACAAACTCACATGTGCACACACACACACACAAACTTACACAATTACATACACACACAATCATACATTCATGCAAACACACAAAAGTAAACATTCACACAAGCATACAAACACACAGACACAAAATAACACAAAGAAACATACATATAAATACACATCCACACAACCAAACACAAATAGATACACACATACACACACAGAATCGTGCACACAAACATTCACACAAACATTCACCAATACACACACAACTCACACACAAACACACCCAAACATACAAACAAACACAGAATCAAACAGAGATAATCAAAAATACACATGCAAGCGCGCACAGACACGCACAAAAACAGTCACAAACGCAAACAAGCACACACACAGAATCACAAACACACGCAAACACAGACACACAAACAGACACACACACAAACACACATTAATCCATGTTGAGAGTTTTATGTAAACGATGGCTTGTGGCCTCACACTGTCACACCGATTCCTATCACAATATTCAGCCGCACTGATCAGACAGTCACAATAAACACATTGAGATATTGGCGTCATTCAGACTCTGGAGACACAGTGCGTTACTTACCTGAGACACTGTATTTTACACTCCGGGTTTCTCAGAGCCTCACACAGTCGCCTCACTCCACAATCTCCCAGATTATTGCCCCCCAACCTGGACACAGAGACACAAACACAGGGAATATGGTGTAACAACACAATACACATTGACATGTATATACAGGAGCCTTTCACGTGGGGAGCAAGTCCCAAGGCGCTGGGCCCAGTGTCACACACACACACATGTGCCCACACACATCACTCTCTCTCTCTTTCTCTCTGTATCTCTCTCTCTGTTCCTTTCTCTGTTTCTCAGTTTCTCCCTCACAGTCTCTCTCTCTCCCTTTCTCTCACACAGTCTCTCTCTCTGTCTCAGCCATTCTCTTTATGTCACTCTCTCTCCATCTGTTGGGTCTGTCGCCCATTCTGTCTCTCACCTCTCTGAGTCTCTGTCTCTCCAAAAAAACATGGTGACTACACTTCTCTCAGATATTCATATATTCTCTCTCACGATCTCTCACTCAGTCACTTTCTATGTCTCTCTCTCTCTCTCTCTCTCTCTCAGTCTCCTTCTCTCTGCCTCTCCCACAATACACACAGTCACTACACTTTATAACATACTATCTCTCACAGTCTCTCTCTTTCGCTCAGTCTCTCTCTCTCACACACACACAGACAGTCTCTTTCACTCTCTCTCTCATCCTCTCAGTCTCTATCTCTCAGGCTCTCTGAGGCTGTCGCTGAGTCTCTCACTTTACTTCTATATCTCAATCTCAGTCTTTTTCTCTGTCTCTCCTGCAGTTTTGCTCTCTCACCCATTATTTGTCTCAGTCCCTCTCTCTCTCTGAGTCTCTGTCTCTCTCTCAAAACACAGTCACTACATTTCTCTCATATATTCACATATTCTCTCTCAGTGTCCCTCACTTATTCCCTTTCTCTCTCTCTCTCTCTCTCTCACACAGTATCTTTCTCTCTCTCTCCGTCTCTCTCTCTCTCTGCTTCTCCCGCAATACACACAGTCACTAAACTTTATAATATATTCTGTCTCAGTCTCTCTCTTTCTCTCAGTCTCTCTGTCACACAGACAGTCTCTCTCAGTCTCTATCTCTCAGCATATCCCTCTATCCGTCTCTCAGTCTGTTTTTCTGTCTGCCCCTCTCTCTCTCGCAGACATTCTCTGTCTCCTAGTATTTCACATTTTCTCTCAATCTCTCACAATCTCTTGCTCTTTATCTCTCACAAAACACAGTCAGTACACTTCATAATATATTTTCTCTCTCAATCTCTCTCTCCGTCTCTCTCTCTCTGTCTCTCTCATATTGTGTCTCTCACCTGCTCTCAGTCACTCTCTCAGTCTCCTCCTCTCTCTCTCTCCTGCAGTTTCTCTCTCTCTCTCTCTCTCAGTTTCTCCCACAGAGCACACAGTCACTACACATTATAATATATTTTCTCGCACAGTCTCGCTCTTTCTTCTCTCTCTCAGTCTCCCATTCTCAGTCTCTCTCTGACTCTCCTACAAAGCAGTCACCCATTATAACACAATCTCCCACCCAACCTCTCTCTCTCTCTCTCTCTCTCACCGTCTCTCTTTGTCTATCTCTGTTACTCTCTTTCACTCTCCCGATGTCCCTCTGTCTCTCTCTCTCTCACAGTCTATCTCTAATGCTCTCTCTCTCTCTCTCTCTGTCGGTCTCTCTCTCTCTCTCTCTCTCTCACAGTCTCTCTCACAGTCTCCCACTCATAGAAGACGCTTATCTTCGACCATGACTTTGGCCTCCCTCACTCCTCTCTGCCTTCCCTCACCCCCACCTCTCCCCTCAACCACACCTCACCCTTCACCACCACTCGCCCTCACCTCACCCACACCCCACCCCTCATCCCCACCCCAAAGCTCCCACCTACCCCACCCCTACCACCACACCACCCCTCCCCATCCTCGGACCCCCACAACTGACTGTCCAGCGCCTTCGGGTGTACACCCGCCATGAAAGGCGCTATATAACTGTCATTTTGTTGTTGTTGCATTTCCTCTCACAGTCTCTCTCTCTCTGTCTCTCTCACGCTCTCTTTCAGTCTCTTTTTCTCACTCTCGCAGCCATTCTCTCCCATTCTCTCTTTCTGGGTTATACTGCCTTACCCATAAAACACACATTTTCTCACACATCCTCTCTCTCCCTTCATCTCTCTATCTGTCAGTATCTTTCCCTCAGTCACTCGCTCTAACTCTCTCTCACACGCGTTCCCTCTGACTCTCTCTCTCTCTCTCTCTCTCTCTCTCATTCTCTCGCTCAGACTCTCCAACAAAATGCACTGTCACTACACATTTTCTTTCTCCTCACAGCTTCTCTCTGTTTTTATCTCAGCCTCTCTCTCTCTCTCTCTCTCTCTTAGCCTTTCTCTCCTATTCTCCCTCTCTCCCAGTCTCTCCCACAGCTTCTCTCAATCTCTATATCTGTCTCTCTCAGTCTTTCTCACTCAGTCTCTCTCCCGCAGTAACTCTCTCCGTCAGTCTTTCTTTCTCTCTGTCGCTTTCTTTCTCTCCCTCAGTTTCTCTCGCTCAGTTTCTCTCTCTAAATCTCTCTCTTTCTCTCTCAGTCTCTCTCTTCCAGTATCTCAAGCTCAGTCTGTAGCTCTGATTCTCGTTCTGTCTTTCTCTCACTGAGTCTCAGCCTCAGTCTCTAACTTTCAGTCTCTCGCACAGTCTCTCATTCTCTCTCACTCAGTGCCTCTCTCTTTCCCTCTCAAACTCCCGTTCTGCCTCTCTCTCTCTCTCTTCTTGTCATTCTCAATCTCTCTCTCTCTCTCAGGGTTTTACTCTCTTCCCGTCACTCTCTCTCCGTTTCCAGCTCCCCCACTCTCTCTTCCTCACCTACGAAGCACAGTCACTATATTTTGTAGTATATACACTCTCACAATGTCTCCCTCTTTCTCACAGTCTCTGAAGGGTAGTGATAGTGTTTTGTTGGTGAGCAAGAGCGAGAGACTGCGACAGAATAAAGGAAGAGACGGGGAAATACTCAATCTGAGAGAGACTGTGAGGGAAAGCAAGTACAGAGAGACAGAGAGAGAATGAAAGAGACAAGAAGAAAGAGTGACAGCGAGAGAGTGTAAAAGGCACAGAGAGAGAGAGAGAGATGGTCAGTTTGTTGTGTAGGAGAGACTGAGAGACTCAGAGTTACAGAGAGAGAGGATAGTGACACTCAAAGAGAGACATCAAGTGAGTGAGACTGTGACAGAATGATTACTAGAGGAGACTGAGCGAAAATATATAGCGTGTAGTGACTGTATTTTGTGGAGAGACAGAGGGAAACTGAGAAAGAGAAAGAGAGAGAAAAAGAGAGAAAGAAAGAGAGAAAGAAAGGAAAGATGGAAAGACTGAGAGAGAAAGATATACAAAGAGGGCGATTGAAAGAAACTATGAGAGAATATGTATAGTAAAGCGTAGTGACGGTGAGTTTTTTGGGCGAGGCAGAGAAAGAAAGAGACAGAGCGAGAGAGTCTGTGAGAGAGGGAGTATGTGTGAGTGGGAGACTATGAGAGAGAATGAGCGAGTTTGAGTGAGAAAATGAGAGAGAGAGATTGGGGTAGAGAGACCGATTCTGAGAAAGAGAGAGAGAGAAAGAGACAGAAAGACAGAGAGGCAGGCAGGCAGATACCCTGAGAGAGAGAGAGAGAGAGAGAGAAAATATATTACAAATTATAGTGACCGTGTGTTTCTCGGGAGAGGCAGAGCGAGAGAGAGAGAGACTGAGACAGAAAACACACTGAGAGAAATAGAGAGGGAGCGTGAAGGAGAGACTGATAGACAGAGAGACTGAGAGAGGGAAACATTGAGAGAGAGTATATTATATATTTTATTGACATTGTATTTTGTAGGTGAGACAGAGACTGAGTGTGAGAGAGAGAGAGAGAGAGAGAGAGAGATAGAGAGAGAGACTGAGAAGTGATTTGAGACTGAGTTACAGATGCTGAGAGATAGTGACTGCGATTGACAGAAAGAACGAGACTGAGAGAGATAGAGAGAGACTGAAAGATAATATATTATAACTTGCAGTGACTACGTGTTTTGTAAGAAAGACAGAGAAATGATGACATAAAGAGACTAAGGGGGAGACAGACATAGCGAGAGAAATACCGAGAGAGAGAGAGAGACTGCAAGAGAAACAGAGAGAAACTGAGAAAGAGAGAGACTGACTGGGGGAGAGAGAAGGCGGAGGACTGGTAGAGAGAGAGAAACTGAGAGAGAGAGAGAGAGAGAGTTAGAGACAGAACAAGAGTCAGGGATAGAGATGGAGAGAGAAAGAGATTGAGTGAGAGAATATGTGATAACGTGCAGTGACTGTGCGATACCATTCTCCCATTGATCATCTGGTGTTTAATGTCACTAAAGAATGTCACTAAAGTCCTCTAGAATGGCTTTGAAATAAGAATAATATTTACAAAAATAACTTACTGCAACACCTGACATTTGTACAAAGCAGGAACCAGACGCTGGAGACCCTCATCATGAATGTTGCAGTGACTCAGTTCCAGTTGTTTTATTGTGTCACACAGTGCAATGGCCTGAGACAGCACAACACAGTCTATCGGTGTCAGTGTCATCTCTGAAGAGCCACCACCCAATGTTAGTGTTTGTACAGAGCCCAGTGTTTGCTGTGCCAGGGTTTGATTCTGAGACTCAAACAGATAGTGGAGTGTGTTCAGCAGATTCCTTTTCCCACGGTCGCTCTTGTTGTTTTGCATCTGAGCTTTAACTCTCCCCTTCAGCCAATCGATCACCGCGCAGGTTGTCTGATGGACAAATGGCCCCAGAAACTCCTCCAGTGGCTGAGCTGCCCGTGGGGAGGAGAGACCAGCAACAAAGCGCAGGAATATCTCAAACCGGCCGTCCTTCTCCCTGTGAGCTTCATTCAGGAGTTTCCGCAGATTTCCTGCATTTTGAGGCAGAAACTGAAAGAGTGCGGCTACAAACTCTTGGATGGTGAGGTGCGGGAATGTATAGGCCACGCTGTGCTCTGAAGACTCTCTCTCCACAAGTTCCATGAGAAACCCAGAGAGGAACTGGGAAGGCTGGAGGTTATATTTGATCAGATCTTCATCATTAAAGACAATGTTTCTCTGGGAGACTCCAGTGAAGGCCATCTCACCAATCTTCAGCATCACATCACGGGGCTTTCCATCTTGACACTGTGATGTGATAGTATGTTATAAATATAATAGGAGAAGAGTTGTGTGATGTCTTGGGAACTCGCTGTTTGTTGCTGTGTTTCCGTGTAAAGAAGGGACCCAGAGACAGAGCGAGGATCCAGCAGTAGGACGGGTTGTAGCACATGGTGAGCAGGAGCTCGTTCTCCTCCACGTGGCTGTAAACAGCAGCCGCCACCTCCTGATCTTCAAAAAACTTGTGAAAATATTCCCTTCTCTCTTCACCCACAAATCCCAGGATTTCAGCCCAGACACTGACCGAGCCTTTGCCAGTAACTGTAATGCAGTGGGGCGGCTGGTCACCAGCACTGAGCAGCCTGGCAGCAGCTTGTTCTGTATTAAACTGTACACAATGTCAGAAACATCACAGAGGAAACCAGGGTCTGTGCACCTGCGCTGAGGCTCTGTGTCTCTCCGACGGTCAGCGAAATCAATCCTTGTCCTGAATTCATCCAAACCATCAAATATAAAGAGCAATCTCTCTGGGTGTTTCCACAGCTCATCCAGAACATCCCTGAGGTAAGGATACTGATCCACGATCAGACGGCTCAGTGTTGCTCTGTCGTGAAGTCTGTTTAGGTCTCGGAATTTAAAAACAAATACAAAGTGGAAGTGAGGATAGATTTTGCCTGTGGCCCAGTCATGGACAATCTTTTGCACCATGGTTGTTTTTCCAATCCCAGCCACTCCACTGACTACTGCGGAAGTCCCTGTAGGAGGGTCAGATCCGCTTCCCTGAGAAGAAGGTAAATTATTTATTTTTGAGAAGCTGCTGTGGAACAGTTTATCAGTTCGGATTTTTTCCAGCTCTCCCCGGAGTTGCTTCTGTCTCCACTCCTCGTGGTCTCTGCCTCTCGCCAGCAGCTCATGTTCTACCAGTTTCCGGTGACGGAGATCAGAAATGATTGTTAACTCCGTGTAGCGATCAACCAACTGAAACGTCCTCACCTTCTCCTTTATCAGGATGGTCTTCACTTCCAGTTTCTCACATTGTTTCTGTAACGTCTCCTTGTGCAGTCGCTGAATAGCTTCATGTTGAATATTAAATAATATAAGTAAATAGAAGCATTATTGAGCATTGTTAAACAATAATACTTTGATTCAGTGTAAGGCCTTTCAAGGCAGGAGGACTGCCCAAAGCGCTGCACTAGCTTAACCCTAGGGTGTAGTGGCTGTCTTTCGCTGGCAAACACAGCGGCTAATTTGTGCAAAGCGATGTCCCACAAGCCGCTGTTAAGTGAGTCACCACATTTATTTGTGAGATTTTGGCCGGGAAACCGGAGTGACAAACTCCCTTCTCTTTTCAAATGGTATCTTGGGGTTTTAAAGTCCATCTGAAAAGGGAGACACGACCTCGGTTTGATATCCCAATGGTGGCATCTGCGTCAATGCAGCACATCCCAGAACTGAACTGGAGTGTCAACTAGTCCTGTTGATGTGAACTTGAACAACCTCTGACTCCGAGACAAAAGGAACACCAACTGAGCCAGGCAAACAGGGGTTAAACAATCTGAATTGCATTCAAACCATGGAGATTTTCAGGCCATTATATGACGACTTGTGAGACATCATCTGATTTATTGTGAGAAAAATCATACCAAAGCAATATTTGCTGAAATAATCTAAGAATCCAATAAGGACCATTCCCCTCCCTCCTCATCTTCAATCCTCCCCTCTCCCCTCCTCTCCCTCTGTGTCTGCCTACTACCCTCTCTCCTCCTCATTTGAGTTTTCTGGAAATCACCAAGTAAATGGAAAAGTTTTAAACTGTTTATTTCGGAAGTGATTGACTGGCTTGAATCTTGTCATTGTCTCATACCTATCATATCACTGGAGACGTCTGGTACACCTCGGTCGATGGTCACCTCATTCACTAGACTGGCACCTGTTTGAATAGAGTTATATTACTAGCTTGAATGAACTTTGTCTCAATACTATTTGAGTAAAATCTGTAACTCGCCACAGAATGGAGACACTGCGTACCATCACACATTCATAGAATGTTACAGCACAGAAGGAGGCCATTCGGCCCATGGTAATATGTATAACATTACCTTGTTCCTGTATTTCAGTCATGATTTTGTTCAGTTTGTACAAAGTTGGCCTCATTTTCACAAAGGATTCCCACATCACTATCCTGGCCTGGGAACCTTTCCCCATCACCATGTTCAGAAGAAGTTTCGAGCTTTGTCTCTTCCGCCCACTGTGTGTGAGCTCAGTGAGTTTCTGCAGAGAGTGAGCATTAATGTATTGAAGATGGAGTGAAACATGAACAGTGACAGTGATCAGCAATACCCAGACCAATTGATGGCTTGGCTGGATTTGCTATCTCTTCCCTCCACAAACTGCTTTCCTCAGTGGTTATGCTTTTGATCATCTTCCCTCCCCTTCCCTTCCCAAATCCAGCTCGGGCTCTAACTTTCAACTGTCAGTGCCTTGAGACTGCCTCGCCACGTGAACGGTGCTATTTAAACGCTATATAAACAGACACCTATTACACTGTGCAGTACTGCTCCACTACAAACATATAGTGCATGGCCTGCGTTACAACACAACTGGCTAGTTAAGTGTTGATTGGCATTCTGCTGATTTCCTGATAACAGCAGCACATGAGCCGTGCAGACAGGCACAGACTTGCTGAGCTTTTAACAAATGAAAGGGAAACCTCCTGACTCAAACCTACTTTGTGCTCCTGGGGGCTGAAACATTCCTTCTGTGTCAGCCTTGAGCTGATGTCCTCCACGCCTTCCTCAATGGCCTGTTCCAATCTGTCCCGATAGAACTTTGTCAGTCTGTGCAGCTGGTACCCGTTGTACAGGGCCAGGGTCTCGGTGAATAAGGTGTTTGTGCCTGTTAGTAACCAGTAAAAACATTAGTCAGCAATGATTTTACTTGTATTATCTAAAAATATATTTCAGGAAATATTACATTTATTGTTGCAATAAATCAGAATAAACCATCATCCATTGTCCTAAAATACCATTTGGAAGCTAATATCCGAGAACTGCCAGCCCTGCTCAGTTGGTATAATTCCCATTCCTGAGACAGAAGGTTGTTTTGTTCTGATTCTTTTGCCTATTATCTTAAGTCTGTGTCGCTCATTCACGGACCCTCCAGAGAAACAATTATAGCCTCTCTACTCTCAAAATCCCTCATGGTTTTCGAACTCGTGTATTAAAACTATTAAGATAAACCTATCAGAGCGTTTTGAGGGTTGAAGCCACACAGCGGGAAATGGATCTCATATCATCTCACTGCAAAGCAGGTCACTGCTGGGGTATCCTGCACTGCTGAGCTGCCAACTTCAGAGTGGGCACTCAACCAAAGCCCCATTTGTTGTTGCTCTGCTGTTGGTTAAAACAAGGGAGTTGCTCGCGGTATCCTGGATAAATAAACACCAAACAAAATTGGGTGGGAGTGCAAGGCGCGATCGAAAAGAAAGGTTTTCAGCAGAGACCTGAAAATAGGAAGAGCGGGGGCGAGCCGAAGGAAGTGAGGAGGGGAGTTCCAGAGCTCCTCGGGGAGTAGTGGCTGGTGGCAGAGGATTCGGGGGACAAGGAGGAGGCCAGACCCGGTGGAGCGAAGGCAACGGGCACTGTTGTGAAGAGAGAGGAGGTCATAGAGGTCGGGGAATGCAGAGGAGTGGGGGAATTTGAAGACAAGGTGAGGATCTTCAAGACGATCCTCTCTGGGACAGGCAGCAACGCAGTCTGGCCAGGACTGTGGGGTCGGGGAGCGGAGTTTGGTGCGGGTGAAAATGCGGGCGGCAGAGTTCTGAAAAATCTGGGTTTCACGAATGGTAGCAGATCAGAGGCCGGCGAGGAGGGCGTTAGAATAGTCCAGCCGAGAGGTGACAATGGCATGAGCCAGCGTTTCAGCTGCTTTTGTGGTGAGATATTGGCGGAGAAGGGTGATGCGTTGGAAGTGGAAGAAAGCGGTGCAGGTGAGGGACCGGATGTGGGAGAGGAAGGATATTTGGGGGTCGAACCTGACGCCTTGGTTACGTACCGGTTCGTAGAGTTTTAGTGGGAGGTCGGGTTTGTGGAGGAGGTGAGAACCGTGAGACTTCAGACGTTGACGAGAGCCAAAGAGTATGGCTTCCGTCTTGTCAAAGTTCAGCTGAAGGAAATTTGCGCTCATCCAGCCCCTGAGATCTGACAGTCAGCTGAAAGAACCAGGGGACTGTGGGTCGAAGAGAGAGCTGGAAAAATAGTTGGGTGTTGTCCCCGTACATGTGGGAATGTACCCCATATCTGGGGATGACATCCCCAAGAGGGAGCATGTAGATCAGTAAGAGGAGGAAGCCAAGGATGGATCCTTGGAGTACCCGCAGGTGACCGGGTGAGAGCGGGAGGAGAAGCCGTTTGTGCAGATGTACTGCTGGCAGCTTGTGAGGTTGGACTCGGTCCCGGCGAGTGCGGTCCCACTGAGATGGATGACGGAGGAAAGGCGGTGGAGGACGATGGTATGATCGAACTGTGTCGAACGCAGCAGAGAGGTCCAGGACGACAAGGAGGCAGAGGGAGCTCTGGTCACAGATAGAGAGGATGTCGTTTGTGACTTTCTTAAGTGCAGTCTCGGTACTGTGGGCATAAACCAGATTGGAGGGGTTTGTAGAGGAAGTGGGAGTAGAAGTGTGCGCGGAGTTGTTTCCCAACAACGCGCTCTATGACTTTTGCGAGGAAGGGAAGTTTAGAAATTGGGCGGTAATGTTTGGGATTTGAGAGATCTTGCGAAGGTTTTTTTCAGGAAGGGTGTGATGGCAGCAGTTTTGAGGGGGGCAGGGTCTGATCCATAGGGAGGGACTAGTTGATGATGTCAGCCAATAGTGGCCAGAGGAAGGGGAGCTGTGTGACCAGCAAGTTGGTGGGGAGGAGTTCGAGGCAGCAGGTGGCGGGTTTCATGGAGGTGATGGTAGGCGAGAGGGAGGAGGGAGAGATGGGGAGGGACGAATGTAGGATGGGGGTCGAGGTAGGAGCTGCTGATGGGGAGGGTGAGGAGGGCAGAGAGGGTTGGTGGTGGGCGACAAGAGGCAGGTGGATGAGGCTGCCTGGCGGATATTATATATTTTAGATGAAAAAAATATCTACGGGGTATCTGGCGTGTATGTTGTGTGTCACGGCTGTAGTTTAACAAAAAGCCACACAGCTCAAACTATTCAGAGCACTGAACTAAGTGTGTCCATTGTTTTCTCGCTGGGACACTCAATAAACTGGCCTTCACGCCCCTCCCTTCAACTGGGGAGCCAGGGGCAAGGTGGAGGCATTGAGGAGAGACTTAAAAGCTTTGTGGCGTAGTGGCTGAAGGGACGGTCACCGATGGTGGAGCGAGGGGGCGAGGGCCAAACAGGAGGCCGGAGCAGGCCTAGCTGAGACAGGGGTGGAGGACTGGGGGTTGATATGTCGGTTAAATGCATGTCGGCATTTGAAAATGAGAGAAAGGAACTTGAACTCGATCCGTTCGGAAATTGGGTGCCAGTGCAGCCTGGCAAGGACTGGTGTGATGACACTCCAGAGCTTTGTGTTGGTTAGTATCCGGATGGCGGAGTTAATTGAATATTGTTTATGGTGGATCATGGGAGACGAACGTGGAGAGCATTTGGAATGTCCAGCTGGGAGGTGGCAAAGACGTGGATGAGGTGGAAGCTGTGGGTGTGAGTTATGGACAGAGGAGTGCAATATGACAGAGGTGGAAAAAACGATCCTGGTCAGGGAACGGATTTGGGGAAGACAAGAAAGCCGTGGATCTCACCTGACTCCTAGGTTAGGCACGAGTTTGGTGCATTTGGGTCAGATCCTGGGGAGGTTGAGGGGTTTGGACCCACAGGAATGAAGAGGTTAGCGGGAGCCTAATAGTGTGGCTTCTGTCTTGCAGACGTTCAGCTGCAGGAAGTTTGCGCTCATCCAGACTTTGTTGTCTGTCAGACAAACTGTCAGGACATTAGTGGACTGGGAGACATAAATGGAGGAGAAGCAGGAGGCGGAGAAGTAGATTTGAGTGTCATCCGCATACATGTAGGCTGTATCCAATCTACCCGTCAGGGCGGTGGTTTACAGCGAAAACAGGAGCTGTAAGTGAAAGACTAGACATGGGGGAATTATCCATTCCCCCATGACTAGTCTTTCACTCCAAGACTTGCCCATGTGCCAGGCTGGTTGGTCTGTCACTGCACAACCTGCCCATGTGACAGGCTGTCTGGTCGGTTGGTGCAATACTTGGCCATGTGCCCGGCTGGCTGGTCTATCACTGCATAACTTGCCCATATGCCAGGCTGGCTGGTCTGTCACTGCAAAACTTGCCCATGTGCCAGGCTGGCTGCTTTGTATCACCTGGGTTTTGGTTCATGAACCGTCAAACAAGTCCCAGATCTTCAATTAAACAAACTGGGAGTTTGCTCAATCAAAATCGACATTGACAGATCTCCCAGTTCCAAGGCTGGTGAGATAAAAGTATTTATTTATGTGTAAAAGTACTTAATAAACTACTTACCTTTGTTCGTTATCGTATCTTTAAGACTTTCCTCAAAGTCAGGTAAAGAGAAGACATTGGCTTCTGGTGTGTTGCCGGGTGTCTGATCCACACCGCAGATCATAGCATCGCCCTCTGCATTGGCTATCGGTTCAGTTTCATTGGAAGCCATCTCACTCGACGCACCCAAAATGCTGGAACACTGGTTGGGATTTGCAACCGTATCACAACGTGTTTGGATAACTGCAGATGCACTCGCTGTTTCATTCCCGCCAGATGTGGATGTGTTTGGTTGTGGTGATGGTGACCATTTCATTGATTCATCAGGTTTTTCGTGTCTCGGTGTTTCCGAGTTTTGTTTCCTCTTTCCCAGCAATGTTCCAACAAGGCGTTTCATTGCTGCTAAGTGCAGCCGAGCTGGTGGTGAGTTTTGTGACAGGTGTTGAGCCTTATTTATGTTTATTGTAGAACAACGTTTACAAGGTGATCAGGGAATCCAGACGTGATCTACCAGACAATACCATCAGGCTTGCGTGTCCAATGACTTTCCTTCTTGCTCACATTTGACATTTATCCTGCGAATGAAGTAAACTGTAAGTCAGGGTAACAAACAGGATTTAAGCAAAATCAGATTGCTTACTGAAAAAGGATAAATTTACTAACTTTTCTTGCATTTGGTTTCGTTCAAGTGAGGAGGATGTCTGAAAACACTTCCCCATTTACAGTGAATTGTCGTGAATTTGTATTTCAGAGCTGAATGCATCAGCCAATTTCATAGAATCACAGAATTATACAGCAGAGAAGAGATAGCCCATCATTTCCCAGGTCCCTCCCCATAGTCCTGCAAACATATCCTCCCCAAATAATTACCTACTTCTCTCTTAAATAAAAGTTGTTATCGAATCGGCTTCCCCCAGCCTTTCAGCCAATGCATTCCCGATTCCAACAACTCGCTGTGTTTAAAAAAATCTCAACTCACCCCTGTTTCTTTAACATCTATTTTTAATCAGTGTACTCAGGTACCGACCCACCCTCCAGTAGAAACAGTTTCTTCTTGTTCATCATATTGAATTCCCTCATAATTTTTAAAACTTCCATTAAGTCTCCTCTTATCTTTCTCTGCTCCAAGGAGAATAATCCCAGTTTTCTCGCCTCTCCTGATAACTGAAGTCGCTCATTGCTGGTACTATCCTGGAAAATCTACTTTGCACCTTTTCCAATACCTTAAGAGGTAACTCAAGTGTGGTGCCCAGAACTGAGCAGTCTCCAGCTGAGACCTGACCAGTGTTTTATTAAGGTTCAACATAACATTCTGAGTATTGTATTCTTTGCCCCTATTTATAAAGCCAAGTAACCGAATGCTTTTTAAAAAGACCTTTACCTGACCTGCCACATTCAAAGATTTACTTATATGAACTCCAAGGTCTCTCTGTTCCTTCACCCCTTTTAAGATTGTACCATCAGCTTACATTTCCACAGTTTTCCTCCCAAAATACATCACTTCGCATTTCTCCACATTTATCTTAAACTGCCACATGTCTGCCCATTCCACCAGTCTGTCTATTACCTCTTGCAGTCTTTTACTATCCTCCTCACTGTTTGCTACTTGTCCAGATTAGTATCATCTGGAAACTTGCAAACTGTACTCCCTATACCCATGTCCAAGTTATTTATAGATAAAAACACACCATGGTCCCACAGCCGACCCTCTCCGACCCCCACCCTGGGGCATAACACTGCACACTTCCCTCCAGACAAAAAAACAACTGTTCACCAGCGCTCTCTGCTTTCTGTCTCCCATTTCGTCTATTTGGTGACAGCAACAGCTCGCAATTAATACGACTCTTCCTTTGCTAATTCTATGGGGAGCATCTTGGGCGAAAGGCGATGTACAAATATTTTAATTTTCTATTGTAATACTATTACTACTGCTAATTATTACTATTAGTTTTACATTATTACATATTACATTTACATGGTATCATTCACACCAAGAGGAAATCACTAACTGCTTCACGAGATTTTGTGGGCCAACACATCAGCCAAATAGCAAACAGCAATGGCCTTTGAATAGCTTGAAGTGAGTAACCAATTGTATCTGAGGGATTTTTATCCATAACACTGGGAGAAACATGTTTAGCCCTGTGATAAAACCTAAGATTCCACCGAGGGTTTATTGCTATCCAAATCATGGTTCATCAGTCCTTCAATCCGAAATAGCATCTTAGGTTGTATAATCAAGTTCAATCATCAACTAAAGCCCCGGCTTCTTGTTCTGCATTTGTTTCATTGCTTGTACAGAAAGACAGGAAACCAGGCGCTGGGATAACTAACCACAGGATGTGCAGAGCTGAACTCACAGCCTCTTGTTCCTCTCTGTTGCTGACAGTCACAGCACGAGAGCAAAGGGCAAAAATAACATGTAAATCAAACACAACTCAAATATACCATCAACAAATAGCAACAGTTCAAACTGGGGCCGTTCCTTCCACTGACAATCAGATGGTTGAGAATGTAGATTTGGTGTAAATCCTGTTAATTTGAGTTGGAAAACCATGCTGTAGTGAGTTCGCTCATGTCGCCACAATCAGAGCGTTACCCACACAGACCAGACCAGCGGTTTATATCTTCATGAACAGAGAAACAGCCCCTCAAAATGGCTGTCACAGGCCCGGATACAACAAAATGTCTGCTCTGGGCCACTGAGGCCTGGTAAAGTCTGGTGTGTGCCACCACCTCCATATCTACACACATTGACACACAAAGTCACACACACACACACACACACACGTACTCAGAAAGTCAAATAGACACACACACTCACATACAGACACATACACCTACACACCTAGACATACATACATACACAGACAGAGATAAATATAGAGAGAGGGACACAGAGACACATACATAGATGTATACGTACAGTCCGAGAGATACAGAGAGATAAATTTGAAGATAAATACAGAGGGAGACACACATGCACACTGACAAAGGGAGAGTGCGAGGTACACAAACAAACAGACTCATAGATACACAGACACAGAGAGAGGAATGCACTGACAAACAGACACACACAGATACAGAGGCACACATACAGACAGAGAGAAATACACACAGGTGTGGAGAGAGATACTAACAGTGAGAGCGGGAGATGAACCATATACAAACATACAGAGACAGAGATACTGATTATACAGAGTGAGCGAGAGACAGAGAAAACATACACACACACACACATATACACATTTAGAAAGATACACACACAGATACAGAGAGGGAGACAGCGACAGAGACACAGACAGATGCACACTCATTCCGCCAGAGAGAGACAGAGACAGGAACACAGAGAGATAAACTCACACGCAGAATCATAGAGACAAAGGAGATACACAGAGAACTAAACATACACAGACCCAGAGAGACAGAGCAAGCACACACACACACACACACAGATGCACACACATATAGCCAGAGAGAGAGAGATACCGGGCCACACTCACGAACACGCACAGATACAGACAGAGTGAGATACACACAGAGAGATATTCAAACAGACAGACAGGCAGAAAGGTTGAGAGTTAAGGGCAGAGCGAGACACACATACAGGGAAACACAGAAAAAGAGAACAGACAGTGCTACACCCATACACAGAGACACACAAAGGCAGATAGAGTGAGAATGAGAGGGATGTTTCTGAAAATGATGTGATCTGTGTGTCTCTCTCTGATCTTCATCATAGCTGTCACAGGACAGAACCACACAATGTTTGCTCTTGACCACTGAGGCCTGGTAAAGTGTGGTGTGTGATAGTGCCTCCCCATCATCACACAGACACATAGATACACATACAGACACAGAAAGACATATACACGTAACACATACGCAAATATAAACACAACGAGCGAATTGCACACATGCACACACATGCATATACAAAAAATAGACACTCACACACAGACAGTCATTTGCACACACAGAGACATCCACACACACAGATGTACGCACCCAGAAACATATACACAGAGAGAATTACACAGAAAAGCGTGTACACATAAACATATAGACACATATGCATACACATGCACAGAAAAACAGAAAGAAAGAGATACAGAGACACACGCAGACAGAGATAGATACAAAGATAGGGAGTTACACACACACACCCAAACACACACATAGATATACACACACAGTCAGATAGATTCAATGAGTGAAAGACTAACAGACACACAGGCAGAGAGAGAAATACATACACACAACGTGAGAGAGAAAGAAAGATACACAGACACCTGTACACACTCACAGATGCGTTGGCACACAGATGAGGATAGACACAGGAAGAGAGAGTTTGACACAAACAGATACAGACACACATACAATCAGATAGAAAAATACAGAGAGAGGGAGATACACACAGAGAGATATGTGTAAGATCAGAGAAATACAGAAGAACAGGAACACGGTGAGAAATACACACACACAGATACAGATAGACAGACAAACAGGGAGAAATGCAGACAGAGCTACACAAATACAGAGATAGATACACACACAGACAGACAGAGAGAAGTAGACAGTAAAAGAGAGCGATGCATATAGACAGAGGGAGAGACAGAGCACACAGAGGGATACATACAGGCAGAAATAGAGGGAAATTCAGACACAGAGGAAATACACACAGACAGACAGAGAGAAATACACACAGGTGAAGAGAGAGATACTAACAGAGAGATGAACCATATACAGAGACAGAGATACAGAGCGAGAGAGAGAACATACACACACACATATAGAAAGATACACACACACAGATACTGAGAGGGAGACAGAGACACAGACAGGTTCACACTCATACCGTCAGAGAGAGACAGAGACACAAGAGAGATAAACTCACACGCAGAACCAGAGAGACAAAGGGGAGACACAGAGAACTAAACATACACAGACCCAGAGAGACAGGGACAAGACACACACACACACAGATACACACACACATAGGCAGAGAGAGTGACAGAGAAACACAATGAGAAAGTTTCTGAAAGTGATGCAATATGTGTAGATCTTCCTATACCTTTACATAGCTGTCACAGGCCTGGGTACAACACAATGACTGCTCTGGACCACTGAGACCTGGTGAAGCCTGGTGTGTGGCAGCATCACTGCACACACATACAGACCCAGACCCAGACAAGGACACACACATACAGACACCCATCTATATACACCTAAACACACACACTAATGCACAAACACACACATACACGCACAAGTAGAGAACCGGAGATACAGAGAGATACAGGCAGAGAGATACACACACACACACACACACGTAAATAGACAGAGACATATAGAGAAACAGAGAGAGATTCAAGAGAGACATACACAATCACATACACAGATATAGATGAACTTTAATGTTGTTGATGTCACACACATCTCGGGACACGCAGAACACACAGTTTGGGCACTGCACTCCCTGCGCCATATTTGGCCACAGTGAGAAGTTAGAGGGTTTTCAGTCAACAGCTAAAGCCCCGACATCTTGTTCTGCATCTGTCTCATTGCTTGTACA